ACCATTATGGATGATCAAATGGTCTTTACCTCTGAGGGGCCCATCCGTCGTTATTTGGTTCGTTGGAGTGGTCGATCTGATGAAGATGCCACCTGGATTTCAGAAGATGAATTCCAACAACTTAATCCTGCCTTGCTAGAAGCCTATCAACTCTCTATCTCTCCGGAGGAGAGTTCTTTACAGCAGGGGGGAATTGATAGAAAATATGGCAAATATTACTTTAAGAGGAGATAATTTATTACTTCTTATTGCCTTTCATTAGTTTATTAGTTTTGTTGTTTTTCATTTAACTTTTGTAAGTTTCCTTCTTGTGAAGGAAACCAAGCAGCAAGTGGATTCTTATTACTTTTCATTAGTTTATTAACTTTTGTAAGTTTCCTCCTTGTGAAGGAAACTAGGCAGCAAGTGGATGTTTCCTTGTTAGGAAGGAAACCTCATGCTTATAAATAGCATGACTTGTATTCAGGCAGGGAAATGAATGTTTGAATCATTATGATTTTCTGAAAGCTCCCTCTCTCTCTCAGTTCTGCATCTCTCTTCTGTTCTCCCTCTCATATTTCAGTCACTTCTCTCTCTTTTCACCTTCTCTGTTCTCACTTCACCTCTACCTCCCACTCTCTGATACCAAGTTGATGTAAAACACAAACACTCACGCTCACACTGATTTGAACAGAATAGAATAAGGGAGAAGAAACAGAAACAGAGAGTGGGAGGTGGAGGGGAAGTGAGAACAGAGAAGGTTAAAAGAGAGAGAAGTGACTGAAATATGAGAGGAGGGAGAACAGAAGAGAGGTGCAGAACTGAAGAGAGAGAGGGAGCTTTCAGAAAATCATAATGCTTCAAACATTCATTTCCCTTCCTGAATACAAGTCATGCTATTTATAAGCATGAGGTTTCCTTCCTAACAAGGAAACATCCACTTGCTGCCTAGTTTCCTTCACAAGGAGGAAACTTACAAAAGTTAATAAACTAATGAAAAGTAATAAGAATCCACTTGCTGCTTGGTTTCCTTCACAAGAAGGAAACTTACAAAAGTTAAATGAAAAACAACAAAACTAATAAACTAATGAAAGGCAATAAGAAGTAATAAATTATTTCCTCCTAAAGTAATATTTGCCATATTTTCTATCAATTCCCCCTGCTGTAAAGAACTCTCCTCCGGAGAGGTAGAGAGTTGATAGGCTTCTAGCAAGGCAGGATTAAGTTATTGGAATTCATCTTCTGAAATCCAGGTGGCATCTTCATCAGATCGACCTCTCCAACGAACCAAATAACGACGGATGGGCCCCTCAGAGGTAAAAACCATTTGATCATCCATAATGGTCTCGATTTCATCGACAGCAGGCAATAAATTATTTCCTCCTAAAGTAATATTTGCCATATTTTCTATCAATTCCCCTCCACCTCGCACTCTCTGTTTCTGTTTCTTCTCCCTTATTCTATTCTGTTCAAATCAGTGTGAGCGTGAGTGTTTGTGTTTTACATCAGAAAGTGCCTTACTAGCAAAAGCCAAAGGATGGCCATTTTGGGATAATATTGTGCCCAATCCATGCCTTGAAGCATCAGTTTCGATCACAAAGATCTCATTAAAATTGGAAGAGCAAGCACCAGCGGGGAAGTCATGGAAGCCTTAAGGGATTCAAAAGCTGATTGAGCCTTAGGAGAAACAACGAAAGGCTCATTTTTCTTTAACAACTCAGTTCGGGGACTGCTGATAGAACCATACCCTTTGACAAAGCGTCGATAGTAACCCGTAAGACCGAGGAAGCCTCGTAGTGCCTTAATGGAAGAAGGGATGGGCCAAGAAGCTATGGCCTCTAGTTTCTTCGGGTCTGCCTGAACCCCATCAACTGTGATGACATGACCAAGATAATTAATATGTGTTGCTGTAAAAATACATTTAGAGGCCTTAGCAAAAAGTTGACGCTGCCGCAAGAGTGATAAGGTTGCTCTCAAGTGCTCCAAGTAGGCTGCCCACTGTTTGCTATAAACCAAGATATCATCAAAGAAAACTAGGATAAACTTTCGCAAGAAAGGTTTGAAAACCGAATTCATACGGCTTTGAAAAGTGTGACCATGAATTCATATAAGCCTTCATGTGTGCGGAAGGCTGTTTTAGCAATATCAGATTCATTCATTCGAATATAGTGGTAACCGGCTCTTAAATCCAGCTTAGAGAAAAACTATGCTCCAGCAAGTTCGTCCAAGAGATCCTCGATAACTGGAATAGGAAATTTGTTCTTAACAGTGGCTTCATTTAATCTCCTATAATCAACATAGAAACGCCATGTGCCATCTTTTTTCTACACTAGAACAACAGGGGCTGCAAAAGAACTATTGCTTTCCCGTGTGATTCCATTATCAAGCATCTGCTGGACTTGCTGTTCAATCTCAGATTTTTGAACAGGTCCATATCGGTAAGGTCTACAACTCACAGGTTGGTCCACTTTAAGGGGAATGGAGTGGTCAAAAGAACGAGAAGGTGGCAAGGTAGTGGGCTCAGTAAAAACATCAGTGAAGGAGTCGAGTAAATTGTGCAATTGGTTTCGCTGATCAGAAGAAAGAGAAGAGTTGCAAGGTAACTGTACCTGCAAGTGTTGCGGAATATGAATGAGGTAGAGATGATCAGCCATAGTTTTATCACCATCAAAGAGAGTCATGTGCATAATGGGCTGTGGTATTCTGTAGCTCATCCCTTTAGTGTAATTAATTGACCATTCTGATGAAATTCAAATAGATGCTCTACTATGTCCATGGAGAAACGGCCTGAGGTTTTGAGCCATTGAGCACCCAAAATCATATCGAACGCCCCAACCTTCATGATTATAAAATCAGAAGAAAAGAAAGAAGCCCCCATTTCTCATTCCAAATTCGAACAGCATTTGGAGACTAACAGCTGCCGATTATCCGCAACAGTAATTCGAATGCCATCTCGTTCTTGAACATTCAATTTAAGCCATTTAGCTACCCTTGAATCTAAGACATTATGCATGCTTCCCATGTCAATTAGGATAACAATGCTCTGACGTTTTATGCGGCTAGCGAGACGCAGCGTAGACGTGCCTTCTCTATCCTCAATCGCGTTCACTGTTCCGGTAGAGGGTAGAGGCTCGATCTCTTCTAATGCATCCTCAAAGAGTTCTGAATCATCTTCAACGATTAGGGCAAAGAGATGGGAACCTCAGCATCTATGGGTGCTGCTATATTTTTCATTACACCAATAACAGAGCCCCTTGCAACGTCGTTCGTCTATCTCTTGCTTGGAAAGTTGCTTAGTAGGTTTGGACGACGCTGAACTGGACATACTGGTGGAGCTGAACGATTTGGGCTTATCAACAATAGGGCCCGTAGACGGAAGGGGGTTGGGGTTCGGTTCGGTCTTGTGGCCCGATAGAGAGGAAGGCAGAAATCGAGAAGCAGCTGATGCAGACAACGCAGAGGGCGCGTGAAAAGGCTTACGCAGCGTTGAGGGGGGAGCATTCTCGTGAATCGCCTTAATGGTTGCAACCTGACGCCTCGCCATTTTCATCGCACTGGCCAAAGATGTGGGTTGTAGACTAAGAACACTCTGCTGCACATCACTCCTAAGGCCGCCTATATAAACAATTCATGGCAACAACTTCAAATAAGTCGACTTCGGTGAGTAACTCATCAAATTTCTCTTTATACTCTTCCACAGACTCTTGCATCTGGAACTTCTTAATAGCAATCATGGGGTTTTCATCCTTAATATCCCCAAACTTAGCTTTCATCTCATGAAAATATTCATCCCAAGAGAGGTCCGACAAACGCCTCTGTTTTACAAAAGCAAGATGCCAACGCAAGGCGCGTTTCTCTAAATGGATACTAAGAAGACAGATGCGATGCTCGACAGGTGTTTCATCCACCTCAAAAAATTGGCAACACCGATAAGCCCATCCTCTGAAATCGGTACCATCAAATTTCGAAAACTCTACTCTGCTATGCTTGGTTGGAACAAAGTAAGAAGGTTGAGAGGTGGGAATAAGTCCTTGGAACGAATCAAACTGAGGAGGTGGGGTTGACAGGGGAGGAGGAGTTGCGGAGGATGTGGTTGGTCTAGGAAATGAGTGTGGTGGAATATCGATTGGTGGGAGAAAGGCCGAAGCTACCGGTCTAGGTGATGTATTTGTCGCAATGGGAGCTTGTGGGAGCTTGGGAAGGTTCACCGGCTTCAAAGTTAGCAAAACGGGAAGGTTGATTAATAATCATGGAAAGCTTGGCATTAATGTCATTAAGCTGGGTAGAAAACTGGGTTATGGTTAGCCGCATGTCGAATATTTCCTGTGTGTGTTTGTCCACAGAAAGCTGAATGCTAGCCACCAATGCAGATTGCATCTCCAGTCGATGCTCAAGGTCGCCCACGCATTCAATAGAGGACCAAGTCTCCGGCGGAGCCATGGTCGGAGAGACGGCTCGGATACCAAAATGTTAAGGGAAGAAAGAAGAAGGGAGAGGAGACTAATTTCATTCACAAAAATGTGCCAAGGATGTAGGATACAAGATATACCCTAAACCTAGACACGTGTCCCAAAAGGTAAGGTCCTATACTGTCAATAACTAATCTGTAATGCAGAAATATATGAAAAGACAATAATAACCTATCAGCATAAAGACAATAAAGCCATCAAATAACTATAAAATAGCATAACGTGTAACAAATAGCAGAACCACATAAAGGAAGCCCCTGATCTGTGTGCAAAGTCTTTCCTCTCTCTTTTTCCCATCTATAAAGGTGTCTTGAATGAATGTTAATTTGAAATATCAAGATAGGACTTCATAGACCCATAAAACAAGAATAAAGCAATTCGTGAATAACTTACTTAAACAAGGAGTAGTCAGTTCAATTAATATTCAACCTCAATAAGTGATGAATACAATGAACAGGTTAACCAGAATACATTAAACATATTAGGCTTACCACTGTCAGAATTATTAACAACAGAATTCCAAATAGATAATCAAAATACACAAAGTAATACCTCTCTTAGCTTTCCAGTTATGTCGTCAAGAAAATCAGCATCAGGATGGACTATTACCATTTCCCTGCAGTGACCAGGAATATGATTAGGCACCTTCCTTTAAATAGAGATATAGAGTGAATGCATTGAGGAAGAAGAAAGGGGAAAGATTGGCCTCAGTGAGAGTAACAGAGTACATCTATGCAAGTGTAAAAGTGACATACCTAAGTGGTGTTTTAAGAGGCTTGTTATGACGCTCACGGATGTTTCGAGCAAGGTCAATTATCATCATCATCCTTGATACACTTTGTTCAATTCGTTCCCCCCTCTATGACATAGTCATGCAGAAAAATAGACGTAATGCAATCTATTAGATGATTTCTGTGTAACTAAGACAGCTAAAGGTAAAACAAGAAGCTGCAAAATTTAAATAGTAGATTTCTTCTGTTGTCAGCTTCCAAGAGAATCAAAGCTCCACAAATGATCCAACTAAGCTGTTCATTTCTACCATAGTCATCAAAATCATACCAAACCTACTGGTTCAACTAATAAACTGAAGAATTGGAACCCAGTTGTCTGGAATGCCTCAAAAATCAGTCAAAACACAAACTGTAAAATCACGTCAGGTTTCCATCCAATTTTTCTGTCATATCAAGCATACTTTTAAACCTCATTTCCATTATTTTTCCTGTTCCTGTTCCCTTTCATGTTCCAATTATATATGAATCTTTCCGATGATGAGCCAACTGGGTCCAAAGTCGTTTTCAGCAGCTGTTAAACTAGACTCAGAATACAATTTTTTCATGTGACTAGGCTTGGAAAGTTGGAATAAACTAATTCATCCGAACATACCTTTCCTTCTTCAAGAGGAAAACTGCAATAATGTATACTTTCCTCAGAGCCATTGCAGGCTTTCCGCATATTCTGATAGAGCACCTCAGTGAAGAAGGGTGTAAACGGAGCCATCACTTTACAGGCCAACAAAAGAACCTGAGCATAATTGGCATGATTTTAAATATGATTTATGGAATTATCACTTGAAAGATCTAAATGCCAAAAAATTTTAGTACCTAAGAGGAAGCACTTAGACTATTTATAACCATGACAAAGATGGAAGATACCAAAGACATACATTGTAAAGAGTCGAGAGTGCTGTCCGGCAGTCATCTTCTCCAGTACGACCTTTTAGTCTCTTGCGGTTGAACCGCACATATATATTTGTAAGGTTATCAAGAAACTTAAGAAGATAAGGAACTACCTGCAAGAATTTTCAATATAATGGTAATGCTTTAGACAAAGTAGAGATAACATGATAAACATGTTACACATCAAGAAAAGAACAGCGGCAAATTAACAAACAGTGGGAACAAATCACACACATGCATAAATAATTTTGTTCATGGCAACTGAAGGTTGGTAAAAAAAAAACCAACAAAGGCCTAATTACTCAAAGGTCCTTGATGGACAAAATATAATTCATAAAATATTTGCATTAAATCAAGAATTAATAACATAGAGATTATAAGCTTTTCACAAGCCACGTAATTTATTTGAAGTCCTGAAGTAATAACATACAGAAAGACCTCACATGAAACACCTACAACAAATTTTAAAATCAATTCCACAGTAAGTTAGGTCACTAATAGATCCCAATCCGTTCCTGAGGAAAACCTATTTTGGCTAATGCTCTGTGATATTAATTTCAAAACGTCTGGCAAAATAATGCACATACGTTATTTCAGGCTGATGTTTATATCTCACTTATTCTGTTTTTTCCCAAGCATTTTGAATGCTCTTCATACATGAATCATCAAGAAATTATGAGCTGTCCATATTTAGTGCAAACTCCATTCCCAGCTTTAGATATTATAAGGCGGGCAATAAAGTGATGCACCATCGCATGCTTAACAAATGGCTTTCACATTAAATTCACTATGCTTTCTCATATAGACAGCATATGTAAAAGAAAAGAAGCAGTAATGATATGCATCTAAATACATCACATCCACTACTATTTTATAGCACAAAGCATGGGGAAGAAACAAAGAAAATAGTAATTCCAGAAACACAAAACTGACCGTGTAAAGTCGGTAACCATCCATTTCTTGGCGGACAAAATGAACAAGGCTCTGTGTGGCTGAGTTGATCCATTGATCAAGAACATTTGATGACTTTTGAAGTGTAGACTGATCAATGGGGACAAAAGGTGCTGTGCCCTCAATTTCAAGCCTCTTTGCATTTTGAACAAGGAACCTGTATGCATTATACCAAGGTAGGAAAACATCCCTAACCTGGGATGTTCAATACAATACAAACAAAAGGCCAGTTGGTAAGTAGAATTGAATAAAACATATTCAATATAAATAAAATTAAATGAAAGACAACAAAAGAAGTTAATTAAGATTAATTAACAGATGGACAATACTGACTACTCCATAAACCCCTTCCTTCTTGAAACGAAGAGTCTCAGCACGTACAACAGGAGAGTTTATAAGGTACAGCCGCAATGCATCCTGTACAAAAGATGAGAAAATATCATGATAAAGCATTTAAGATAAAACAAACCAACAATGAAGTTGCTTTCCCATTATCTAGAAAAGCACGCAAAACATGAATTTTGACAAAAAGACATTACATGTAATATGACAAATAAATAATTAAATAATTAAACTAATGGGGGGGTTAACAAAAATGTGATCATCTTACTGCTCCATAATCATTGATGACTTCCATTGGTGAAGGATAATTTTTCAAGCTTTTACTCATTTTTTTCCCATCTTCAGCAAGGACAAGTCCATTGCAAATCAAATTCCTAAAGGCAGGCTTCCCAAATAAGGCAGTAGCCAACACCATAAGGGTATAAAACCTGTACAGTGAAAAGAAGAAAATAAAAATAAACAATTAACTTTACTTAAGGAAGAAAGAAGGGTTCAATGGCAGATGAAACAGAATTTAAAAAAAAAAAATACATTTCAGAACACATAAAGGGTGAGCTATGGATTACAGCATCAAAAAATAAAAATACGTGATAGATGAATAAGTACGGCCATTCATGCTCAACAGCATGAAAAATGTCTAACCCACAATTCATTAATTAATCATACACAAACAGGGATAAACAATTCTATTATTGCTAATGCAGATTATTGTTTAAAGCAACTTCCTCTAAACTGCAAGCAACAACAGAAAAATGGCAGAACCTGAATAGCAGCTTAAAAATTCAGGCCAAAAAGAAAAAATAGCAGCTCAAAAAGCCCACACAATCAAGTCACAAAATCAAGCGACTGTTTAAGCCCAAATGAAAAATCCTTGAAATTGCGTTTAGAAACAAAAAAAATCATTTCTGGTGTAACAATAACAACTTAACAGCTCCTTGTTATTAACTAAAAACAAAAGGGGGAATAATGTTTCAATAAAAAACGAGAGAATTAATCCCATTTTAGAACCATAAGATTGGAAAATCAGAAATTAGTATCAAATCAATGGAAGCGACAAAACAATTTGATAAGTTCAAATTTTATTTTTCAAACCTAAATAGATGAATATGAATCGCAAATTATTAGCTAGCAAGTTGCATATCTGGGAACTTAATATCAACCAGCTGAAAGTGATAAAAAATGAAAAAAGTTTGATTTCTTATTTTCTATGATAAATAAAAGAGCAAAATTAGATTTGGTACTTGGAATGTTGGGACATTAAATTGTAAATCTGTAGAGGTTGTAGGGGTTATGATTCAAAGGAAAATCAATATCCTTTGCTTGCAAGAAACAAAATGGCGTGGAGAAGAAGCTAAGGATATTCAAGGTTTCAAACTTTGGTATACAGGAAAAGTAAGTGCACGCAATGGAGTAGGCATCATTATAGATAAGGAGTGGAAGAAGAACGTTGTAGAAGTTAGCAGAATTGGAGACAGAATTATTTCTTTAAAAATGATAATTGGACGTGAGACTGTTAATATTGTTAGCGCTTATGCGCCGCAAGTCGGGACAGAAGCCAGTCTTAAGGAATTATTTTGGGAGGATCTGGAGGGGTTGATTCGACACATACCACAGAGTGAAAAAATTTTTATTGGAGGAGACTTTAATGGGCATGTCGGGAGGGAAGCTGGTCAGTATGCGAGGGTGCATGGTGGTTTTGGTTTTGGAGAGCTAAACAATGAAGGACAAACTCTTCTTGATTTCTCATTGGCGTATGATTTTAAGATTGCCAACACTTGTTTCAAGAAGAGAGATGAGCATCTCATCACTTACAAAAGTGGAGTCTCAAGGTCACAGATTGATTTTCTTTTGGTTAGGAACACAGATAGAAAACTTTGTAAAAATTGTAAGGTGATCCCCGGAGATGCTGTAACGACACAACATAGAGTCCTAGTCCTTGATGTGTGTATTATGAGTAAAATCCAAAAACGTCGACAAGTAGTAACACCAAGGATTAGGTGGTGGCAATTAAAAGGTGAGAAGCAAGATATTTTCAAGCGAAATCTTTTGGATAAAGGAATTTGGGATTCTCAGGGAAGTGCTAACATCATATGGGAGGATATGGCTAAAAAAATACGGGAGGTTGCAAAAGTAGTTTTGGGAGAATCGAAAGGTTCTGGTCCGAGAGATAAAGAGTCTTGGTGGTGGAATAATAGTGTACAGGACAAAATCAAGTATAAGAAGAATTGTTTTAAAGCCATACATTTGTGTAACAATGAGGAAAATTGGGAGAGGTACCGTATGGCTAAGAAGGAAACTAAAGAGCTGTGGGTGAAGCTCGTTCTAAAGCTTTTGAAGAATTTTATAAGAACCTTAAGACGAAGGAAGGAGAGCAAAATATTTATAAGATTGCCAAGAGTAGGGAAAGAAAATCAAGAGATCTAGAACAGGTAAGGTGTATTAAGGATGAAGAGGGAAGAATTTTAGTTACAGATGATGAAATTAAAAATAGATGGGAGACTTATTTTTCTAAACTTTTCAATGATGGAGAGGATTCATCTAGTAACTTGGAGGATTTAGTAACTGGTGAAGGAGAACAAAATTTGTCATTCTATCGAAACATACGTGATAAGGAGGTAAAGGAAGCTCTTAAGAAAATGGCAAATGGTAGAGCTAACGGACCTGATTGTATATCTATCGAAGCGTGGAAATGTTTAGGTGAAGAAGGGGTGAGATGGTTAACTAAGTTATTTAATGTGATTTTACGGTCCAAGAAAATGCCTGATGAGTGGAGGAGAAGTACATTAATTCCTATTTATAAAAATAAAGGAGATATTCAGAATTGTACTAACTATAGAGGGATTAAACTCATGAGCCACACAATGAAATTGTGGGAGAAAGTAATTGAGCATAGGTTGAGATTGGAGACAAGTATTTCTGAGAATCAATTTGGTTTTATGCCAGGTAGATCAACTACAGAGGCGATTTATCTACTAAGGGGATTAATGGAAAAGTATCGTTGTAAAGATAAAGATCTACACATGGTTTTTATTGATTTGGAAAAAGCTTATGACCGTATACCAAGAGAAGTGCTTTGGAAAGCGTTGGAAAAAAAGGGAGTACGGATTGCTTATATTAAAGCCATACAAGATATGTATGAGGGGGTAAAAACTAGTATAAGAACGCCTAGTGGTCAAACAAAGGATTTTCCTATAAAGATTGGGCTACATCAGGGATCATCTCTGAGTCCTTATTTGTTCAACTTGATTTTAAATGTTTTGACGGAACATATTCAAGAGGAAATCCCGAAATGTATGCTCTTCGCGGATGATATAGTTCTTATAGCAGAGACAAGAGAAGAGGTTAATTGCAAACTTGAGTTATGGAGGAGGACATTGGAGTCGAAAGGTTTTCGTCTGAGTAGAAGTAAGACGGAATATTTATATTGTAAATTTGATAAAGGACTATTCGAAAATAATTTGGAAGTAAAATTGGGAGATCAAATTATACCTCAAGTGGAAAAGTTTAGATATTTGGGAGCCATTATCCAAAATGATGGCGAAATCAGTGGAGATATTTCACATAGAATTCAAGCTGGGTGGTTTAATTGGAGAAAAGCTAAAGGAGTTATTTGTGACCGTAAGGTGCCTAATAAACTTAAAGGAAAGTTTTATCGTACTGCTATCAGACCGGCAATGTTATATAGTAGTGAATGCTGAGCTCTAACGGGACAGCAAGAGCATAAAGTTGGAGTAGCAGAGATGAGAATGTTACGATGGATGTGCGGACATACACGTAAAGATAAAATTCGAAATGAGCACATACGTGAAAAAGTGAGGGTGGCACCTATTGAGGAAAAAATGGTAGAAAATCGGTTGAGATGGTTTGGGCATGTACAAAGAAGACCAAGGGAGGCACCAGTGAGAAGAGTGGAACATATAACTTTGAGTCCGATTAAGAGAGGTAGAGGAAGGCCTAAGAGAACACTCTTGGAAGTTGTTGAACGTGATCTCTTAATTAATAATATTTCTAAAAGCTTAATAAATGATAGAGCACAATGGCGTCTTGCAATCCATGTAGCCGACCCCACCTAGTGGGATAAAGGCTTGTTGTTGTTGTTGTTGTTGTATGATAAATAAAAGAGGACAAGTTGCAAATGATTCTTTACATAGTCGCAAATGTGAGAGGATCAGAATCAAATCCTTGGGAATGTCCAAAAATAGCTTGATATGGTTCCACTATTGTCACTTCTATTGATTTATACTGATTTTCTGTTATTTGCAACTTGATAAACATTTGCAACTCCTATTCATCTTCTTATAATGGAAAAATGAAAATTTAAATTGTCAAATTGCATTTGTAACTCTTAGTGATTTGGTACTAATTTACCATGACTTGGAACTTGCTAGGCATTAATTTCCAACTTATGTTCCTTTTTTGGAGGCAATCTATTCAAGATTTAGCCAAACACTAAATGTGAGAGACTAGTCCTTTCCACTAGACCCAACCCTCATTGGTGGAAAAATGGAAATTTAAGTTGGCAAAGTTCTTATCATTTAGAGGGATTTGATACTAGTTTTTCCTGATTTGAAACTTGCTAAGCAATTATTTGCAAATCATATTCCACTTAATAAAAAAGGGAAATTTAAGTTGTTAGTTTTTTGTCACTTCTGGTGATATAATACTACTTTTTCCTTAATTTACAACTTGCTGAGCATTAATTTGCAACTCATTTTCCTCTTTTAATAATGGAAAAAAGGAAAATGAGGGTGTTTTAGCAAAAAGGTGTTTTAGTGAATTTTTCTTGAGGTAAAATATCATTAGAAGGCTTGGGGCATAGCCCAATAGATAAGCTTACTCATTAAGCATTATCTATGTAATACTGATTTAATTATCTTTTTATTGTATTGTTTTATTTCCAGACTTAGGGGATTTGAATCTGATTTGAATTTTGAATCAGATATCAGATCTGATTTGATTCTGATTTCATTTGATTGTAATCCTTATCTGCCCTATATGTACCTCAACCTAATCAATGAAATTATAGGCTGAGATATTATTTTCCTCAACTAATTTCATGGTATCAAAGCCATGACTGATCGAAACCTGCAGTTCGGTCAGTATTGTGAGTACAATACAGAAACTGTCAATCCTAGTGTCTTCCACGATATGAGACCATCTGTTCCTCTCCCCCCTGTGTCACACACTTCTGCAGACCTAACAAATCTCATCATTGCCCACAAATTGTGGGAGAGAATTATTTGCAATGGTCCCAGTCCTTTCTTCTATTCGTTTGTGGTCACAGCAAGGAGGAGTTTCTTGATGGCCAAGCTCCTACCCCAATGCCTACTGATGCTATGTACACTGCATGGAAGGCTGAAAATAGTCAGTTTCCTGGCTAATGAATTCATTGACCTTGGAGAGTGGATGCAATTTTGACTTCACCAGATTGCTCAAGACATTTAGGAGGCAGCTCGTAAACTTTATTCTTCCGCCTCCAATACTGTTGTTCTGCTTGAAATAAAAGGCCGACTTCATGAATTAAAGCAGACCAACATGACTGTGACTCTTTATTATAATTCCTTGCTTCAACTATGGTAGCAAATCGATCATTATGAAACTCATGCATGTTCATGTACTGCATATGCCAGGTACTATCAAAAATTAGTTGAAACTGATCGTATTTATAAATTTGTCTGAACCCAGAATTAAGGAAGTCAAAAGTTGGATCCTGAGTCATCCACAGCTTCCCACAATCCGGGAGGTATTTGCCACAGTTACAAGGGAAGAAAGTTGCAAGTGTATCACTGACGGTTCAATCCTGCCACCATCTGGTGATGCCTCGGCCATGGCAGCTCATGGACCATCCAACAATGATGATAAAGGCAGAAAAAAGGGCATTTAATGTGTGAGCATTGCAACAAGAAGGGTCACACACATGACTCTTGCTGGAAGCTTCATGGCCATCCTCCTCAAGATAAGAAAGGAAAAAGGAAAAGTCATGGTTATGCAGTTAGTCACAAAGAAGATGAGAAACCTGATTATAATCAATTAAAGGAGCAAGTTGATCAGATACAACGACTCCTTCATCATTATGAACAACCCCCTTGAGTAAGTACTGCCACTGGTTTAGTTGCAACCAAATCAGGCATGATTTTAGTTGCCTTACCTTCTGTTCATCATGATTCAAATTAGTGGATAGTGGACTTGGGTGCAACTGGCCATATGACACAGAATTAGTCATTATTTAAAGAACTAAAACCCTAAATAGAGAGACAGATAGTAAAAATTGCTGATGATTCATGTCATCATGTGTAGACGGTACTCATAGTGGCACTATTATATTGTCAAATGATGCACTGGAACATGTCTTATTTGTTCCTAAGTTGGCCTATAATTTGACTTCTGTTGGAAGGCTTACTGCATACAAGGGTGATGTTAACTTTCGATCCAATGACTGTCTTTTAGGATGCGAGGGCTGGGAGGATAATTGGTTGGTGTGATAAGCATGGAGATCCACCACTTTCAAAGGAAAGCTGATGTTGAAAAGGTGCGTATGGCTAGTACCTTATCTTGTCATACTGCGTTAGTTTCAAAGTCTAATTTGCTTGAAATAAAGTTATTACATGAATGTTCTAGGCATCCCAGTGTTGAATACTTCCAAAAATTGTATCCTCAATTTTCAAAAAAAGATCTTTCTTTCATTGTGAAGTCTGTTCTTTGGCCAAACACACGCATGACAATTATCCTTCTCACTCCTACAAGCCTACACAACATTTCAACCTCATTCACAGTGATGTTTGGAGACCCATAAGAATACCCAGCACAAATGGGACACATTGGTTTGTCACGTTTATTGATGATCAGACACGTTTAACTTGGGTTTATCTATTGAAAGAAAAATCCGAAGTTCCACATGTTTTCAAAAAATTTCATGCCATGAAGAAAAATCAATTTCAAACTAGAATCAAAGTTCTTTGAACTGATAACGGCCAAAAATGTTTCAATTCTACACTCCAAGACTATCTAAATTTACACAGCATATATCACCAAAGCTCTTGTGCCAACACACCTCAACAAAATGGAATTTCTAAGAGAAAAAATGGACAAATACTTGATATGACTCACTCTCTTCTTGCTTCTAATGCAACTAACCATTTTTGGGGGGATGTTGTTTTCACCTCTGCTTACCTTATCAATTGATCACCTTCCTAACCTCTTAATTTTCACACCCATTGCCAGGTTCTTCTTGAACATTATCCTTTATCCAGATTACTGCATTCCTTTCCTCTTAAAATTTTTGGTTGCACTGCCTTTGTTCATGCTTTCCAGGGATCCAAATTGGAAGCTAGAGCCACTAAATGCATGCTTGTTGGGTATTCTCACACTCAAAAGGGTTACAAATACTACCACCCACCTACTCGAAGGTAATTTGTTTCTAATGATGTAACTTTAGTTGAAACTCAAACCATATTATTCCAAAATGTCCATTCAGGGGGAGAGTAGTAGTTAGAATTGGCCATTTTTCGCTTCTCAAAGTAGCCCTCCAGCAGCAATACCAAACTTTGCTCACCCCTCATATTTTCAGCCCATGACTGAACCTGAGGTTATCTCAGACCAGCCCCAAGAACAGTAAACTCATGATTTGAGGATAAATGAAGCTAACAATGGATCTGTCCAGAATGGCAACAATGCTTAACAGCAGCAAATGCATGCTCCAGTACAGCAATCTAGTGCACCAGGTCATAGCAAATCACATTAATCATCTCTTCCATCCTCAAATCCACAGTATAACGATCTCAGTTGGCCCATTGCGCTGCAAAAGGGGTAAGATCTTGTACTAAGCATCCAATTAGCAATTTTGTTTCTCAAGAAAGGTTGTCTCCTACTATGAAGGCATTTACAGATAGTGTGTCAACTAACTATACCAAAAGATGTGTATGAGGCGTTACAGATTCCAGCTTGGAGAAATGCTATTTATGAGGAAATGGAGCATTAAAGGAAAATAATACTTGGGAACCCACAAAGCTGCCCAAAGGTAAAACCACAATTGGCTGTAGATGGGTTCTTACAGACAAATACAATCCAAATGGGAGTCTAAACAAGCACAAGGCTTGACTAGTAGCAAGGGGGCTTGCACAAACCTATGAAATTGGTCATGAGGAAACTTTTGCTCTAGTAGCAAAGTTCAACACCATCAAGGAACTTCTCTCTCTAGCTGCAAACCTTGACTAGTCTCTACATCAACTAAATGTAAAGAATGCCTTTTTAAATGGCAACTTAAAAGAGGAAGTTTACATGAAGATTCCTCCTAGTTTCAACACTAAGGTTGCGTTTGGTTTGGGGGGAGGGGAAGGGAGGAGAGGGGAGGGATGGATCCCCCTAATTTGGGGGGGGGGAGAGGTTTTGGAGGGTTCCCCTCCCCTCCCCTCCCCCAAACCAAACAGCCCCTAATGGAAATGGAGGTAAAGTGTGCAAGCTGATAAGCATAGAGATGGAAATGGATTGAACATTCACTAGAGTAGTAAAATTTCCCCTCCCTTTCCCCAACCAAACAGCCCCTAATGGAAATGAAGGTAAAGTGGGCAAGCTGATAAGCATAGAGATGGAAATGGATTGAACACTTCACTAGAGTAGTTAAAAAAAAATGGAAACACTTAATGCCAATCAAATCATACACTATTCGTTAAGCATAGAGATGCAAAGATAGCTGTTCTAATCGTTTATGTGGATAATATTATCCTCACAGGTGATGACACAAATGAGATAGAAAGTCTCAAGAAGATGTTGGCTACAGAATTTGAACTAAAGGACCTAGGGACATTGAGATATTTCTTAGGGATGGAAGTGGCCAAGTCAAAAGATGGAATTGTAGTTTCACAGAGGAAATATACTCCAGATTTTTTGAAAGGAACACGTATGCTTGGATGTAGGCCTTGTCCAGCTACTATGGAATTAAACCGAAAACTTGGTTTAAATCCAAACAGTCCTTTCATTGATCAAGGAAGATATCAATGTTTGATTGGCAAACTTCTACATTTCTCCCACACAAGACTTCACATAGCCTATGCAGTGAGTGTGGTAAGTCAATTCTCAAATCAACCTAACAAAGAACATATGATAGCTGTGTTCAGAATTTTAAGATACCTGAAGTTTACACCAGGGAAAGAACTCTACTTCAAAAAATGAGTCCATAGAGGGATTGAAATTTATACAGATGTTGACTGGGCTGGTTCTATCACTGACAGAAGGTCCAATAGTCTTCTGAAGTAGTGCAGAAGCAGAACTTAGAGCTTTAGTTCTTGGTTTGTGTGCAGGTTTCTGGTTAGAGGCTCTTTAAGGAGCTAAAGATGTGCTACGATGGACCAATGAAGGTTTTGTGTAATAATATGGCAACAATCAAAATTGTCAAGAATCATGTCCATCATGATAGAACCAAGCATGTGGAGATTGATCGAAACTTCATCAATGAAAAGATAGAAGGCAAGATTGTGGAAGTGAAGTATATACTTACAAGACAGCAAGTAGTAAATATACTCATTAAATCTGTTGCATAGCCCAAGTTTGAGGAATTAACAGGCAAGCCGGGAATGAAGAATATCTAGTCTCCAGCTTGAGGGCAAGTTAGAAGGCTTCAGGCCCATGCCCAATAGATAAGCTTACTCATTAAGCATTATCTATTTAATACCCATTTAATTATCTTGTTATTATATTGTTTTATTTCCAGATTCAGGGGATTTGAATCTGATTTGAATTTGAATCAGATATCAAATCAGATCTGATTTCATTCATGATTGTAATCCTTATCTGCCCTATATGTACCTCACGACCTGATCAATAAAATAATGGGTTGAGATATTATTTTTACTCAGCTAATTTCAAATATTTTTCACAACATTTAAGTCCTAAAATGGGAGTGATTTTCACTTTTGTTGTCAAATGCCATTCTTCCAACAATAATACAGAGAAATGATGAAACTGACCATCCACGAGTTTGATCTAGTCCTTCAGCCACAAAATGTCCGGGAAAGTTCTTCTCAAACAGCTCTACATTCTCAAAAGGATAATGGATATATGCATATGGCATGGATCCACTCTCAAACCAACAGTCAAAAACCTGAAAAACAAAAAATTGATCTAAAACAAAGAACAGAGCACCAAATTGGTAAGATATTGGGCGTCTAGATCCCTGGCATTCAATTTATAATGCTAAATTTGTGTAGTTTTATTAGAATTTGGTTGCATGTTGTGAAAAGACAATTTTATTAGCATCACAAAATATATTATAATTTGGAAACTGAAAAAGAAAACTACAAAATCACAACAAAATAGCATGGCATCACACACCCAGAAAATTATAAATTATCATTCTTACATCATCAACCCGTCGAAGAACACCATATTCTGGACCACGTTTAGATGGAATTGTGATATGATCAATGTTGTGACGATGAAGATCAAAGACCTGTAATAAGCATTAAAGTGATACATTTAACATTAAAAGTTTAGAAAACAATATCAATAACAAATCATCATTGTCCATCAAACCAAGAAAATATGTAACTTATGTGAAGAGAAAATTCTTTAACAAGAATAAAGCCAACACATTGAACAATAAAACCTACTAGCAGTAACAAGAATGTTACTATTTCAAAAAAAAGTGAAGAGAAAATTCTAACCTTTACACCAGAAAGCTTTTCAAGTTTTGCAACAGAATCCATCACAATCTTTTCCTCTTCATCCTCACTAATCCATATTGGAAGAGGAGTCCCCCAAAATCTACTACGACTAATTGCCCAATCTCTTGCATTTTCGAGCCAATTGTGGAATCGCTTCTCCTGTATCAAGGAGGAATATTAGAAACATTCACAAAAAACAATGGATTCCACTATATATGTAACATCTTAAAAAAATTAATTAATTAAAATTAGAGTAAATGAATTTAATTTATTAATTTTTGGAAGGTGTAACAAGGTGGATTTGAGGTCTAGCGGAAATTATCATTTCCATTAACCTTGCTCAAAGTTCGAATTTTCTAGCCATAGGTGGTGGAAATTTTTTAGTTTCTTTTAACTATGTGAATTTAGCTTATTGCCTCTTAAAAAAAAAAAACAGCACATCAATAGATTTTTCCTCTGCATTCCTTTTACTTCATTCTTGATTCGTTAGAGAGAGCTCAAGAGGAAACACACGTCAGTCGTCCCCTTCGGTCTTCCTCCTCCATTGCTCCTCATCAATCCATCTGCAGCCAGTGAACGGAGGTGTGTCCACTGTTGCCACCATGAAAGTCCGCTAGTCTTCTCCCTCTTCCACATTTTTAGCTGTCAGTCTTCTTCTTTCCCCGCCGTCTGTTGCAGCAGCACCGCTGAAGGCTCTTTCCTTCCTCGTTCGAACCATCTTTGTCCTATTACCTAAGCTCAGTCTTCCACTTTCCCTTCTTCTAGCTTGATTTAGTGTAAGTGTGTTTGAAAGCTCTTTTCCTTCTTTTGTGATGCTCATCTGTGTGTATGTATTTAGAATTGTAGCAAAAAATTGAATTTTCCTCTCTAATATCTTGCTCTCTAATCCCATTTGGAGCATGAATTTGATTGTTGCTAAGATTTAATCAAGCTGTAATTTGAACTTTAAGGGTGTATTTTGTTAGCTAGTTTCATTTGGGTATTTATAATCACTGTAAAAAAATTTAAAATTATGATTATTAGAATTAGAGTTATTTTCTTGGTGAAACTTGGGTTTGAAAATATATGGGCAGGATATTTTGGAGATTTCAAAGCTTAATTGAGTAATTCGATAGGTAAATGCATAGTAGGTGTTTGTAGAAAGGTCTAAAAGAGAATTATATTTTAATAATACAATTAGTTGGGTTAAGATGATATGACAAACTCGGAGACTTAAAAGATAATAAAGAATGCACTTTGAATTGTTTAAATTGATTATGGTTATATTACAATAGCAATAAAGTTTGTTTAATTTGTAGGAAATATGTTAAAATTCTATTATATTTGATAGGGTTGTTAGAAGAAGGAAAAAACTTGATTGAAGCTGTGGAAAGGGAATTTTGGAACTAGGTGATACATTAGGTAAGTAAATAACGTTCCCAACAATTAGAAGTAATAATCTTTCTCTTGCTTTATTTTTGGTTTAACTCCGCCTATGTTTATAGCCGTCCCAAGCCCGAGTAAAGGAGGAGGGTTGTGTTAGGCCATCAACAGCCAATGTAAAAATTTGTTGAATCTATCATGAACATGGACAATAGACGTTATAATGTTAATGTTAGGTCGTTGCCCGTAAGTAACGCGCTGCATGGCTCGAGTATAGTGATAAGTGAGTTAGAGCCGCTGCATCGGCGCCCGGATGTAGTGTTAAATGAGCAAGGGCTACCGCGTCATTCTGGACGCACGCGGCTAAAGAAGTTAGTCCATAAGAGCAAAATTAGATTTGGTACTTGGAATGTTGGGACATTAAATTGTAAATCTGTAGAGGTTGTAGGGGTTATGATTCAAAGGAAAATCAATATCCTTTGCTTGCAAGAAACAAAATGGCGTGGAGAAGAAGCTAAGGATATTCAAGGTTTCAAACTTTGGTATACAGGAAAAGTAAGTGCACGCAATGGAGTAGGCATCATTATAGATAAGGAGTGGAAGAAGAACATTGTAGAAGTTAGCAGAATTGGAGACAGAATTATTTCTTTAAAAATGATAATTGGACGTGAGACTGTTAATATTGTTAGCGCTTATGCGCCGCAAGTCGGGACAGAAGCCAGTCTTAAGGAATTATTTTGGGAGGATCTGGAGGGGTTGATTCGACACATACCACAGAGTGAAAAGATTTTTATTGGAGGAGACTTTAATGGGCATGTCGGGAGGGAAGCTGGTCAGTATGCGAGGGTGCATGGTGGTTTTGGTTTTGGAGAGCTAAACAATGAAGGACAAACTCTTCTTGATTTCTCATTGGCGTATGATTTTAAGATTGCCAACACTTGTTTCAAGAAGAGAGATGAGCATCTCATCACTTACAAAAGTGGAGTCTCAAGGTCACAGATTGATTTTCTTTTGGTTAGGAACACAGATAGAAAACTTTGTAAAAATTGTAAGGTGATCCCCGGAGATGCTGTAACGACACAACATAGAGTCCTAGTCCTTGATGTGTGTATTATGAGTAAAATCCAAAAACGTCGACAAGTAGTAACACCAAGGATTAGGTGGTGGCAATTAAAAGGTGAGAAGCAAGATATTTTCAAGCGAAATCTTTTGGATAAAGGAATTTGGGATTCTCAGGGAAGTGCTAACATCATATGGGAGGATATGGCTAAAAAAATACGGGAGGTTGCAAAAGTAGTTTTGGGAGAATCGAAAGGTTCTGGTCCGAGAGATAAAGAGTCTTGGTGGTGGAATAATAGTGTACAGGACAAAATCAAGTATAAGAAGAATTGTTTTAAAGCCATACATTTGTGTAACAATGAGGAAAATTGGGAGAGGTACCGTATGGCTAAGAAGGAAACTAAGAGAGCTGTGGGTGAAGCTCGTTCTAAAGCTTTTGAAGAATTTTATAAGAACCTTGAGACGAAGGAAGGAGAGCAAAATATTTATAAGATTGCCAAGAGTAGGGAAAGAAAATCAAGAGATCTAGAACAGGTAAGGTGTATTAAGGATGAAGAGGGAAGAATTTTAGTTACAGATGATGAAATTAAAAATAGATGGGAGACTTATTTTTCTAAACTTTTCAATGATGGAGAGGATTCATCTAGTAACTTGGAGGATTTAGTAACTGGTGAAGGAGAACAAAATTTGTCATTCTATCGAATAATACGTGATAAGGAGGTAAAGGAAGCTCTTAAGAAAATGGCAAATGGTAGAGCCAACGGACCTGATTGTATATCTATCGAAGCGTGGAAATGTTTAGGTGAAGAAGGGGTGAGATGGTTAACTAGGTTATTTAATGTGATTTTACGGTCCAAGAAAATGCCTGATGAGTGGAGGAGAAGTACATTAATTCCTATTTATAAAAATAAAGGAGATATTCAGAATTGTACTAACTATAGAGGGATTAAACTCATGAGCCACACAATAAAATTGTGGGAGAAAGTAATTGAGCACAGGTTGAGATTGGAGACAAGTATTTCTGAGAATCAATTTGGTTTTATGCCAGGTAGATCAACTACAGAAGGATTTATCTACTAAGGGGATTAATGGAAAAGTATCGTTGTAAAGATAAAGATCTACACATGGTTTTTATTGATTTGGAAAAAGCTTATGACCGTATACCAAGAGAAGTGCTTTGGAAAGCGTTGGAAAAAAAGGGAGTACGAATTGCTTATATTAAAGCCATACAAGATATGTATGAGGGGGTAAAAACTACTATAAGAACGCCTAGTGGTCAAACAAAGGATTTTCCTATAAAGATTGGACTACATCAGGGATCATCTCTGAGTCTTATTTGTTCAACTTGATTTTAAATGTTTTGACGGAACATATTCAAGAGGAAATCCCGAAATGTATGCTCTTCGCGGATGATATAGTTCTTATAGCAGAGACAAGAGAAGAGGTTAATTGCAAACTTGAGTTATGGAGGAGGACATTGGAGTCGAAAGGTTTTCGTCTGAGTAGAAGTAAGACGGAATATTTATATTGTAAATTTGGTAAAGGACTATTCAAAAATAATTTGGAAGTGAAATTGGGAGATCAAATTATACCTCAAGTGGAAAAGTTTAGATATTTGGGAGCCATTATTCAAAATGATGGCGAAATCAGTGGAGATATTTCACATAGAATTCAAGCTGGGTGGTTTAATTGGAGAAAAGCTAAAGGAGTTATTTGTGACCGTAAGGTGCCTAATAAACTTAAAGGAAAGTTTTATCGCACTGCTATCAGACCGGCAATATTATATAGTACTGAATGCTGGGCTCTAACGGGACAGCAAGAGCATAAAGTTGGAGTAGCAGAGATGAAATATTACGATAGATGTGCGGATATACACGTAAAGATAAAATTCGAAATGAGCACATACGCGAAAAAGTGAGGGTGGCACCTATTGAGGAAAAAATGGTAGAAAATCGGTTGAGATGGTTTGGGCATGTACAAAGAAGACCACGGGAGGCACCAGAGAGAAGAGTAAACATATAACTTTGAGTCCGATTAAGAGAGGTAGAGGAAGGCCTAAGAGAACACTCTTGAAAGTTGTTGAACGTGATCTCTTAATTAATAATATTCCTAAAAGCTTGATAAATGATAGAGCACAATGGCGTCTTGCAATCCATGTAGCCGACCCCACCTAGTGGGATAAAGGCTTGTTGTTGTTGTTGTTGTTGTTGCTTTATTTTTGGTTTATTCTAAATAAATTTCCCTATTATACCTTTATGATTAAATTGATTTAAAATATACAAATGTCATGTTCATTTTTAAGTTTATTTATGCAAGCATTCTCAGAGTATTTTATTTTTCCCAAAAGTATTATACATGCATGGGCTGGGTAAATTACTAATGAAAAGATCATTTATACTTTACAAATTAAAAGGTAATTTGAATTATAAGGATTTTTAACTCCATGCATGCCAAAAATGTTTTTTGAGATTGAATGCAGAACATTGGTTACTAACGATAATTTCATTAGCCCTTGGCACGCCATGGCACACCTATGGTACACCTAACTAGCAGGGTACATTGGAGGTGCCAACCCCGTGTATCGGCCAACACATGTGGATGGGAGGATGAAATTTCATGGATATAATCCACGCCTGTTATTCGTGAACTTTATGCTTGCGCCTGTTTTTCATGGCCTCTAGTCACACCAGATGTTACTTACCCTCATAGACTATATGTCCACGCTTGTTATCCGTTATGTCTAAGTCCTAACATAAACAAGTTTTCCAAAGTTTTCCAAGTTATATTTTCATTCTTAAGAATTGTATTTTTATGATTATCTTATTTATTTTTTTTTATTATTATTATTATTTGGAGACGTTATTTACAAGAAAAATTTTGGCATTCAGACAGTAAAAGTGGACCTACTCTTCAATAGACCTCGTGGGACTCCTTAAGACAAGAAATATTTTGTTGCTCCATTCACATTGTGGATTAATGTAAATATTTAAGTATTTTGTTTTTGCTCTAGAGTCACCTCACAGATCCTATAGGCAAAATCCTTGTTTAAAGTGTGTTGGATTATATGTAAATATATACTGTATCAGAGTAGAACTCTGAATGCTGCTTGGACATTCTTTTGGCAAGTTGTAGAGATTTCAGGTAATCCAACTTACAGGGGAGACTCTGCCAAAATTTTTACAGCAAGCTTGAATATTTTGTTATTATTAGTATTTGTTTAATACAAATGACAATTATATGATAAGATTGGGCAACTGAAACGTTAGACATTATATAGGTTTGAGCTTATGGAATATGAGTTTTCTTGTATTTTAACCGGTCACACTTTAGAAATTCAGGGTGTGACAATATAATTCAATTCAATCAGTTATAACAGAAGACATTGATCTACTTTAAGTTTCAAGGTATAAAATAAATTAGGAAGTTTCATAGACCAATTGAATGATAGTGTATTATACAATATTTTTTATGATAAAAGAATTATATCAAGAAAGAGGAAATACAAATAAGGATAGGAATCCTCCAAGGCAAAGGGCCCAATAACAAAAATAACAAGAAATTCTTCTGCAAAGTTTCTAATATGTGATGGAGTAGAAGTTTGAACTAATGATCTTCTGCAAAGCTTCCAAACTCCTTTGCATATTTAAAAGTGACATGCCCTTGAAAAAGTTTGAACCAATGATCTTCTGAAAAGCTTCCTGACTATTATGAACATCTGAACAGAATATTTTTTCCTCTCCCTCCATATATAACAGTTTAAAATTTTCAATTTAACCTAGTCAGCTCTTAATCATTACATAATTTGTTATAACAATAAATAAAAGACAAAGGCCATCTCAATGATAAACCAGCAGCAACAACAAAAAACATTTGTTAAGCAAGAATGTACCTTCACGAAATCTGGAACCCAATAAGTCTGCTTGTTATTTTCCAACAATTGCTCTTTCAACTTCTCCACTTGAACAAACCTAACATGAACACAAATAAAGTATTGACACTGAAGTGGACAAACCAATTTATCATCAAAAAATAAACAAGATGTGCTAAGTCTATGTTAGAAAAGAAATATTTAATAGAAAGGAGAACCACAGCAGATAAGGATTAGTCAACCTCATAAAAGAGAACATGACCAATAGAAAAAAAAGGCTAAACACTTGAATTTAAACAAATATAACTGCTTCTTAATCTTCCTTCATATGAAAGGATTTATTTTGGTTGCTATCTGCCTTTTATGAATTGAAAAGAGCTCCTTCAGAGACAGACTTCATCAGAAAATGTTTAAGTAAAGTACTTATGGGCAGTGACTGAAAGATAGGTGCAACTACTTGATGGTGACTTATCTTTCTAGGGTAGGATGCCAGGTCAATGCTGTGCCTTGCCGATCCTTTTGGAAAAGGATGGTGGCAATTTGGGAACGATCACAAGAAGGTTATTCTTCAAGCTCTGCTGGCCTATGCATCTATCCGTCAGTGAGGCACTGCAGTATCCAGGCCTAGAGCTTCTTATATGAGAGGTGCTGCCTTGTGGGGAACAATGAGTCACATGCCTTTTGCACCTTTTCCATTATGACAGAAATACCTTAGGCGCCTTACCAGTTTGAAGCAATCAGTTATAAGTCAATGCCCAATCACTGACTTGTGCATAGGAATTTGGCAGTTTAGATTTAGATAACTGCAAGTTCTTGTCAGAGGATACAAGGGAAACATTGGCAAGAAACATTTGCTCTAGTTGCAAAACTCAAATGCATCAAAGTACTCCAATCCTTCATAGCCAATCTCAACTAGCTCCCCCTACATCAACTAGACATCAAAATTTGTCTTCCTTAATGGGGACTTAACAGAGGTCTACATGATGAAGATATTGGCTACAAACGTAGAAATAATGGAAGAGCATGCAAGCCTCATAAATTGTTCTGTGGTTTCAAACAACACTTCAAGTGTGCTTTCAAATGTTCGCAAAATAAGTCAAACTGTGAGGGTACACTCAATAACAAGCATATCACGCAATTTTCACAAAAAAGTTCCCTAAAACAGAAAATGCTATTCTCATTGTACAATGGCAACATATCAGTAGGATCTACTCTAAAAACTCATCAACCTCAAAAAGCTTTGGCTAAGGAATTTGAAAGTAAAGCCACTTGTAGATGTTGACTGCCATTAAATTATTAGTTGGTATTGATGAATAAATTTGCAAAGTGTTAGGCGGAAGATATATTTGTTTACTCCAGTAGCATTTACTCTTGTATGTTTTGTCAAGTCTTGCGCAGAAATCTCAAATCAACTCATTCCAGCCCCACACTCTTCGCGGGTTTTCCTTGAGCAGTTTGGTGAGTTGGGGCTGTTGTCCATGCCCTAATCCATGATGTTCAGCCTCTGTTCAGTGCTTCCTGTCCATTTAAGATCTTCTTATATTATGATATTACAATGTATGACCCCAAAGTGGCCTCTTCAGCCCCCAAAATCTCAAGTCACTAACATGCTAACCAATGCATAATTCAAAATAAATATTGAAGAATTTAAATACAAGTTGGGGGATAATTAACATCCCTCCAGCTTTTTTCTTCTGGGGTTGTTGATAAATGCATGCAGATCCCTTATGTTCGCGTCAAATTCTCTCTTTCTTGTAACATGTTTTTGAGTCAATTTCATCACACAAGTCAAGGAGATTGAGATTCAATGTCTCTCCAACAACTTTTTTCCTTTCACAGACTAGTGAGTTATTCTATTTAATTAGCCTTCATTTTCTGCCCATTTTATCCATTAATTTTCACCTTTACTGTGTTCTTAATTTGCTCGTCCAGATTCCTACATTTTGTTACCTCAAAAGAAGAGGACTCTATTGTGTATTGGAACTTTCTGTGTATTACTTGATGACATTCATTCAGTTATATTCAAGTATTTTCACATTTTACACTACGAAACTCAAAAGGATAGACACTATTGATATGATGTAGAAACCACAAATAAGTGAGGCAAAGGGAAAATCTTGATGAAACAAAAAATTCTCACCAGCTAGGAACAGCTCTGTAAATTAAAGGTGTCCCAGATCTCCAGCAGAATGGATAAGAATGTGTAAAGGTTCCAAACTTGATTAGCCTACCCTTTGCCTTTAAAAAAAAAAAAAGAATAAAAGAATAAAAATAAGCATCCAAATAAACAAAGCAGTAAGAAAAGCAACAGACTCTCAAGGCTCAAAACCATCAGTGTCAAGCTCTATAATTGATGATTATTTCACTAAAAAAGCAGGAGAGGGAAATATAATAATAATTCACAAGAAGTCCTCCATAGTGTGTCTTTCAAGCACACAAGATGGGAAGAGCTTAAAGAAACCAAAGAATCAAAGAAGAGAGTTACAGCAAAATATGCATGTCTTCACATCATAGTTCATTACAGAGCTAAAGCTAACACTTCAGAATCACATATTTCTGCCCATAAAATCCCTACAATTGGCCATAAAAAAATGCAATTTTGTTCTGATTGAGCTGCTTTAATTTTGAATTAGATTAAGAGAAATTTACTTCTTACGGAATGTTTACGAATCAGATTTTCCTTTTAATCTACATAAGGGGAATAATTCAGTATTTAAGCTTCACTTGGCCTCTTGATAAATCACGAGCTGAGATGCTGAACAGGCTTTGACAACTCCTTTGCACTCCTCAGACAAAAAGGAGAGATTAGGAAAATTAAAAACTGCATAAAAGACAATCTCCAAAACTACATTGTGGTGGAAAGAGCAAATAATTTGTCAAAGATAAGATTTTTATTTTACCATTTATTTTATATTTTTTAAGATTTAGTCTTAGATATCCAGATATCATTTAGATTGTTAGCATCTACATTCTGATTATCAATATTTTTTTATTCCTCCATTTTCTGTATTAAGTGAAAATATATTCTTATAAAAATAAAGGAAACAGAAATAGAGAATTCTTAAGCCTTGATTGATTGACTAATTCCTGGTTTATAAATAATTGCTCATAATATTGTCGACCATACCACTCTGATTATTATCCCATTCTTCATCCGTCTTTTTCCTAATACATTTTCTTTGTCTAAATGTCATGAGACCTCCTTTCCCCTGGAAAATGGGGCTTTTCTTAGAATTTATTCCCACAAAGTGTACATATTCATCATGCTCTACTATTTTTTCACTAGTCAATGTAATTGAACTTCATCCAGAGTATGTGATGCATCCAACCCAATCAATAGAAAATAGGGCTTCCTCTTACGATTCCATTACTCCAAAGTTGACATATTCACCATACTCCTTCCTTTTTCACTAGTAAATCTAATTGAACTTCATCTAAAACATTTGTAGCAGCTGCACCACTACACAAGTCTTCCATTTTAACAATGATACTTCAAAAAATCATACTGATGATTTGATGGAAATTCAATAGACACAAAAGAACTTTCTTTGGACATGTCACCAAACAGCTCCAAATCCATAATTTGTTTTGCAGTGCCCTATAGTCAACAAGCACAAATAATATACACCTTTAAGGCACTTTTGTACATCATCTGGTTTGTGTTATGGGTCCCATGTTGGGAAGCCTCATAAGTGAAGATGGGTTTGTAAACTATTCTTTTGGGATGGGAACCCTACCCCAACAATTAACTATTGATGTGGAGAAACCAACCCATTTAAATATCTCATTGATCATCCCATACCATTCAATGCGGGACTTGGTATCCCATACTACCAAGTCTCCATTAGTTTGTCCTGAAAATTTGAGGCAATTTATGTTGGTTAGATTTGGACAAGTGCAAAGAAGGCTACTAGAAGCACCAGTGATAAGAATTGAGTAGATAGTCTTTAGTCTTGTGAAAAGATATAAAGGGCAATCGAGAAGAACACTCAAAGAAGTTATCAAATAGGGTCTCTCGGTTAATGATATGCCTGAAGAATTGGTTGTTGCAATCCAAGTATTCAACTTAAAATGAGGTTTCCTGTGTGTGTTAGATTTGGGGATTTTGATAGGATAATATGAGCATGGCCTTTCAAACTTGGACAATTTAAGTTACATTTTTCAAAATGGAAGATATAGTAATTAGAATTCCAGTATAATAAACTGTAGCATATGTGATTTAAGTAGAAGAGTGTTCTACTTGTGATCACTGGATGTCATTTGAAGATAAGCAATTCGGTGGCATGCAATTGTCATAAAACTGTTTTTTTTCAACTTCATTACAAAGGAAAAGGGTAATTTGGGGATTCAAAAGGCAGGAATAAGAGAGCTTGGTGATCAATAGTTTAGCTCCTAGCTTCTTTTAGTTCCTTTCATTTTATCTTCCAGCATGCACTCCAAGCCAATACGCCAATTATTTCCTTTATTTCTTCTTCCTTTCACATTCCCCCCAAACTAAATTTTAAAGCCGAGAAAGAACGGATATGTTAAAATGAGTTCAAATACTCTATAAAATTAGTTCCAGCGACATTCAATATGTAATGCAATAACCTTTACCAATATCAAAATTGGAAAGCAACATACAAAATTCAAAATTCAAAATTCAAAAGTTGAGCTATAAGCAATAACAAGTTTAGACACATTAAACATAACAAGTTTTGATATATACATACCTTCACAGCTTCAACAATATCCTTATCTGCATCTTTAATATAGCGGCCACTAAAGTCAGTGATTTTGGCAGTAAAGCAGCCATCGTCATCAACAGCAACAGTTAGAGACTCCTACAGACAGACGTGAGTGTAATGGTACCAAGAACATAAGAAAGTTTACTAAGGGAAAGAAAAAAGGTGACAGCAGAGAAAATACTTCAGCTACTTGAAGAAAGGACATGACAGATAAATAGAGATTGGAAAATGTATCAACACGAAACAATCATCACTAGGGACAGGGCAGAGAATAATTCAAGATAGCCCATAAGCATGATGGATGGTAGGTTCAGGTTATCAAAAGCATGGTGACAAATGACAAAGGAATTATGATTTAACAGTTTGGAAACTAAGGCTTCAATAGTGGATTAAATGCAAAAATATTGTGGATCAAATGGTTTTTTAAAGTTAACGGAAGGTCACTTAGTACAGAAAATGAAAGATAGATTCAGGCTTTCATAGATTTGAAGTGCATCAGAAAACCAACCTTGCTAAGAATTTTATTATCAATGCAAACACGGAAATCATCCTCACCAAAAGCAGGAGCACAATGGACAATGCCAGTACCACTGTCATCAGTAACGTAACTGTCCGCAACAATTCTAAAAGCAGGACCAGCTAACTCCATAAAGTAATTGAACAATGGTTCATACCTGCAGAATATGTACTTTAGAATTTAAATAGTCAACAAGACCCCATTTGCAATGAAGTCATTTCATAAGTATCCAAGGAGAAAATATAAAAAGCAATTAATTTGAAGACCAATCTAAACAGTATAAAGAGATATGGATGGATTAGGCAACAGAATAGTTTGTAATCATGAATAAGAAGAAAAAACTATATAAATGCATTAAAAAATTGACTCTGACAAATGCCTGGACGCAACTAAACTGTCAGGAGGTTAATTAAAAAAGAGAGACATATTAAAGGAAGACTACTCACTTCTTTCCTACTAGTGAAGCCCCTGAGAATTTCTCCAGCACTTCAAAAAAATCCAAAACATTTTCTGTCTTTCCGCTTGATGATCCTTTAGTCCTTGCTATTGCTTTTTTGGGGCCATCAATTGATCCATAAGAGACAATTTCTTTGGGTTTCTCCATTGGGAGTGAAATTAGACGTGATTCCGCAACAATATAAACTTTACCAGAAAATTTATTACGAACCTAAATTATTTTGATCCACAAATTGGTTGTCAATTAACAAAGCATGTCAAAGAGAAGAACAAGAAAGGTAAATGATTGTGAAAGCAATATAGAAGTCTTGTATCTAGCATACACGTAACATAGACAATAAGTAGTCAATGACAAAATAACTCAAGGAAAATAAGCAGCAACACAACTTACATCTCATCTTAATTATACTATAAAGAACAAAGTCCATGTTTTGATCTTTTTTAATCATTCTCAATATTTCAGTACATAACACAAATAACTTCTCTTCCAGCCTTCCCCGCTATGGGTTTTCTCACCTCTCACTCCAGAGCAAAAACAGGGGGAACCCCAGTTTCATCAAAAGCTTACCACATCTCATATAACATTGCAAGTGTTCTATCCAAATGAGCATTACCCCCAACAAAAAAATAACGTACATGCACTGACTTGTAATCAGATTATTTGGTTGGACCTCCTCACTCTTCTCTCTCTCTAGACAAGTATAATCTCAAAACACCACGATATATATTATTGTGTTAAGGGCCCCAAAAAAATCAAATTACAAATAAACAAAAAGCTTCGGCTGATGTAATTATTTGCCTACTCCTTGGGCACATTTCTTCATATCCATTTACATTAAAGTTCTTAACCCTTCAAGACATGATGAAACATCATCATGAAAGCTTTGGCTGGGCAGTACTAGTTGAGGCAAGTACCTAAGGTGCTGGCTTTCCCACGACTGGAACACAGCCACTGTGATTATAGTTGCAATAGTTACTATATCTGAGACAAAATACTAATTTTGATAATCAATTGCAGAAGGACTTAGAATCTAAACTTGGGCTTGTGACTTAAATCATTTAGTTTTCATCTACTATCTTCAGTAGAAAGTCATGTTTTTATATAACTAGCTTGGGGAAGTAAATGAGCAACCTTTGACAGATTACAAGTAACAAAATAATCTATCTCTAAAACAAAGTCATCTGACCTTCACATAGGAAAAGTTAGCATTGACGCAAAGGGCAAGATTACTTGGAAGAGTCCATGGAGTTGTTGTCCAAGCTACAAATGATGCATTATGCGGATCATCAATCATGGGAAATGCCACCAATACTTCAGGATCAGGCACATCCTGCACCAATAAAGAATTATAGGTATAACAAGAATTAAAAGAAATATATGTCATCTGATTAAACAAACAACTGGGCTAAATCACGAAAAAAGAATTGTCAAATTGTCAAAAGATGAAGCTGTTGACCCAATAGACAGTGGCATCTTTCAATCTTCAACATGACCCCACATTATAAAGTACATTAAGTCTGAAGCCTAGACAATGCATATGCCCACCATAACTTGACAGCCAAAAAAAAAAAAAAGAATAAGAAGGAAAAACTATTTTGAAAACACTCAATGATGAAGATGTATCATACACAAAGCACTACTGACCCAGAAAAACTCAAGCCATTAGTTGAAGGGAAATAATAAATTTTACATCTCTAGTGAAAAGAAATAACTGCCCAAAACAGGTCGTATTATAAAAACAGGGTAAAGATAGAAATTTTAGCCCCCGTCAATGATAATGTAATAGCAATATCTTCATTGAAATAAAAATATTTTGAACAAAAAATAATAATAATATCAATAGTAAACGTATGCAAAAGTATGGAATTGCAAACCTTGTAATTCTGACCAGCCTCAAAATTAGATAATGGAGTTTTGCAACCAGTGCTATAGGGCATGACCTGCAAGAATAACACAGATACAGCACTTAGACTTAGCTGGTGAATGAAAACAAAAAAAAATGCAAAAGAAAAACAATATTAAAATATTTTAAAGAGGCCAGTTTGTAACCAAGAAGGCAACAAGCAAAATACAAAATGAAAGAAATATAATTCATCATTAGCATGAGATATTAGAAAAAAGAGAAATTACAATCACCTCCCTTATTTTAAGTTTTTGTAAGCATTTGCTGATAGGAACAACATAGAACTAGGTTATTGGGAGTTTCTAGAAACTTCAGACAAGATAACCTCCAAGAACCATGATCTTAATAGAGAAAAAGGTTTCTATCTAAATTGAAGCTGGAAAGAATGTGGATCCAGGTTTGGTGAGAGGTAAATGTAATGTACTCTAGGACAATCCTAATTATACTAACCCATTAACCAATGCTACTCTTGATTATTACCTCCAACAAAATCCAAATGCACGTTGCATTCATTGTACTGGAGTAACACAAAACACACTACCACTCGGTTGCATTTGGAAAAATGATATACAGAAGGTACAAAAGTAGCACCATACCAACAGCTTTGAAATACATTGTCACATGGCAAATATTAATTTTATAAATAACAGATAGGATTAATTTTATAAGATATTAGATAGGTAAAATTAGGGCTGACTCATCAATTTTGTAGAGGGCTTCCCACTTTAGTAGATGAGGTCGAGGGAATATTCAAGAATAGGTTTTATCATCTGTATATGGTTGCTACAGTGTCCCAGGACTGGTGTCTCGTGCGTAGAACTCAATTTTAAAGACTTTTTTAGCATTTTATTGTTTTCTTCATGTTATACATTGTGTTCAATCCCAAAAGTATATCAGCATAGAATCCTATTCTTGACACGGAACTGCAATTTAGTTAAATTAGACTTGCAATGCAGCAACTAAAGCTGTAGAGTAACACATTAATGAGAAATCTTATAATTGTTAATCGCTATCGCTAATACATTAAAAAACCGAAAATCATGGTCCATATCAAGTGCGCAGGACATACAAATTTGTCGCTAATTGAAATCTTTTTCCATCAATTTGTAATTGTAATGAACTTCCTCGGTATCTTCAATCAAGCGCCTATAGCACTTGTTGCTTAACCACTCTCAAGAGATATACCTCTGGACCTTATCAATATTATTCCTGCCCCAATCCCTTCCCCTCAAAACCACAGGGTTGCCAGCTCTTTAACTTCATATGTATATTAGGGCCAGCCAATAGCCCACGGATTGCCAGTGCGCAAAACACTCAAAATTTACTAAAAGAGCCAATTAAGAACTTATATAAAGTAAAAGAATCCCACCAAAATCATCATTACCCCACTTATAACAGTGCCACACAAAACAAAACCTTACCTTGAAGCTTTTATAGACAAGGCCCTTCTCGTAGAGCTGGGCAAAGACCCACCAAACGGATTCCATGAATTTGAGATCCATTGTCTTGTAATCGTTTCTGAAATCAATCCATCGTCCCGTGCGCGTAATAACCTTCTCCCACTCCTCAACGTAACGGGTTACAATACTCCTGCACTCCTCATTGTACTTATCAATACCCATTTTCAACACATCTTCTCTCTTCTTAATCCCTAGCTTCTGGTCAATCTCATTCTCCACAGGTAAACCGTGACAGTCCCAGCCAAAGCGTCGGGTGACATGATGACCCGTCATGGTCTGGTAGCGGGTGACAATGTCCTTGATGGTGCCAGCAAGTATGTGGCCGTAGTGAGGGAGGCCCGTCGCGAAGGGTGGGCCATCGTAGAAGATGTATTCAGGATTGTTAGCGGAGCGAGCTAACTGGGTCTCGAATGCCTTGATTTCAGACCACAGCTCGAGTATCCTCTCCTCTTGTCTGGGGAAGGAGAAGTCTCTACCTTCGCACACGTCGTCCATGGCAGACTCGAATTTGCTTTCGCAGGGCTACTTTGAATCTGCGAGCTCTTCTATGATACTGCGTGCTTCAGACAACTCTGCCGCCACCCAAGCCCTTCTAAGCTGAAAGCGCCATGTCGGGGTTTAAACCTTATGTTTGGATTTGCGTTTTGAAGCCCCAAAACGCTGTTAACAATCCACAACACGGTAAACCTGATTCGGGGTAAACAAACACGACATGTTGAATGGTAGTCACGTTTTTTCCTTCAGACCACGTTACAGGAGATGAGGAGAAGCATTTAAGGACCAGCTTTTCTGTTTGAAAATCACAGTGGAAACATAAAGGCAGTTACTCTTTTCCTCAACAACAAAAGCAAAAAAACAAAAACAAAAACAAAAACAAAAAAGAAAAACAAAGAGGCATTTAGTCATTTACCACTAATGTCCCTTTGCATAATCAGGGATTCAAGGAAGAGGAAGCGACTTTAGGAGGGAGGGACTGTGATGACAAAGAAAGAAGGGGGACGGGAACATATAGAAAGATAGGTGCAAAAATATATATTTTGAACAAGATATTGAAGACAAAGATATTACCTTCATCAACATTCAGGATATTTTTAGAGATCAACACCTCCAAATAAAAATTAACTTCTTAACTCAGAAAGGTAATAGAGCTACAGCTAGATGAACTACCCTTGATGAAGGATGGGTTAGATTGGATACTAATGGCTAAGTCAACATTCACGGTGCAGCTAAATGTGGTGGTCTTATCCGGAACAATCAAGGCAATTGGATCAAAGGTTATTTCAAATACCTTGGTTATTATCCTAGTACAGCTGCGGAGCTTATAGGCATTTTGGAAGGTCTTCATATTTGTTGGGCTAGTAAGTTTGATAAAGTCAATGTCTACAATGACCTTACAGAAGCTCTCTCGCTAATTCACAATGAATTCTCTACTACCCACCCACTTTTTGAGACTATCAATAAAATTAGAGATCTCACCATGTGATAATGGACAATCACATTCGATCACATTTTCAGGGAGGCTAACAAATGTGCAGACTGATTATCTCATCAAGCTTATCCTGATAATTTTTATGTTCGTATTTTCGATAGTCTACTACCTGGTTGTTGTAATCTTTTATATGCTAACATGACTCATATTGTTAATTAGCACGGTGTATCCATGGCCTTTTATTCAAAAAGAAAAAGAAAAAAAAAAGAAGAGGGACAAAAAGCAAAGGATGAGTCAACAGAAAAGGTCAAAGCAAGATTAAGAGCTCAATTTTAATGTCCGCCCACATTCTCAATCCTTTGAAGTGACTCCACATTGCATAATTCTACCAATTAATCTAAAATCCTAATCCATGCCACAATTCTTTTCTAAGTGTTTGCTTTCTAGGGATTAAAATTACATCTCCATTTCTAAACTAATAGATTGTGATCATCTATCATCCAAAGGTCATCTAAATATGCATAGTCTAAGTCTTCCTTAGTTGAAAAAGATACTATGAAATGCTCATTACTCAAAGGCATCACCTTTAACGGGTTTACGGACCACCACATCCTATCCAATCTTATTTGCATTAAGGTTTAAGAAATCTCCTTCCCCAGTAGCTTAACAAGGGAACTTTTCCATGGGGCACACCATGCTTCATATTCTTTCTCAGTTAACTTTAGCGTCAAAATCCTTAATTTCCTTAATTTAGTTTCCTATGCCTCATCGTTTGATTCCTCCACCTCTATTTTATCTTGTTCTTCATTGGCCTTTACAAAATACCCTTTCCATCCCCTTAAAATCTCATCGGATTCAAAATATTCAATAAGAAACCTTGCCGAGTTTAGACTTATAAGAGAATCTCAATAAGATAATCTTCTCCTTAGAAGTTGCACCTGCTCTTTCACCACCAGTGTAGGACCCTTAGTAGCCTTAAACACTAGACTTGAGGATCCATTCAACCCTTGTTTACTAAAAAATGAAGACTCCACCCTTTGTTCCTTTTATCACCTAAGGTCCTCTACTAGAACCACCTAGCAAAACCCCTCTCATCTCACCGTATGCACTATTACTTTCTCTACCCTAACCACCATTCATACTCCTACTATACTTGTCTCTAAAGACCTTTAAAGACCTAAGGCCTATTAATTTGTGTAATGTAAGTTATAAAATCATCACAAAAATTATTACTAATAGAATGAAAGTGTTTCACCCACAGGCTATAGCTCCATACCAATGTAGTTTTGTTTCGGTTCATCACACTCAAATAATATCATTATGGCCTTAGAAGTGATACATTCCATACGAACCATAAACTAGAAGTAAGGTTACATGGAAATAAAATTGATCTAGAGAAAGCGTACAACCAAGTCAACTAGGGTTTCCTCACTAGCTATCTTAAATAATTAAATTTGTCATCTTACATGGATGAGGTCATATCTAGTTGTGTGACTACTCCTAGCTTACAATTATTATGGGATGGCAACAAGCTAAATCTTTTGCTTTTTCTTGGGGAGTTAGACAAGGTGATCTATTATCTTCATATCTTTCATGATTTATATGGAAAAGCTTGCTCATTTAATCATGCAAAAAGTGGAGGAAGAAGAGTGGCATCCAATCCAGCTTGTCAAGAATGGGCCCTTTATATCCCACTTGTTCTTTGCCGGATATCATTCTCTTTGCTAAAGCTTTGATGATACAAGTTGAGATTATTAACGTGATCTTGAAGATTTTTTGCCTATGTTCGGGGGTGAGAGTCAGCCAAAACGAGGGTCTTCTTCTCTGAGAATGTTACATGCCATAGCAAGGAAGAGATCACTACTAAATTGGGTTTTATGAGATCAACTGACTTGGACAAGTACCTGGGGGTTCCTTTACACTACAAAAGAGTTGATCATGAAATTTTTGTTGAGACCATTGATAAGGTGAAAATGAGATCATCAAGCTAAAGGCTACTTCATTATCTCTTGTAGGGCGTGCAACTCTGATTTTTGCTGTTGCATCTACTATTCTGGATATACTATTCATACTTCATATCTTCCCACAGCTACTTGTAATACCCTTGAAAAAAGCAACCATGACTTCTAGTAGGGTTATTCGAGCGAGGAACGAAAGATTCACATAGTTAATTGGGATGACGCTTGTAAAATATAAAGCTTTTATGATGAAAGTGGGTTGGGGCTTAGTAAATAGTCAAGATGCACTTTAGGCAAAAGTAATTCGAGCAAAGTATAACTACAAAAATGACTTATTCCTCAAATCAATATGAAACGCTCTAGCTCTAATATTTGATCAGGAATCAAGGCTACCTGGGACATAGTGAAGTCTGGTTTGATTATTAATAATAATAGTAATATTGTTGGTTGAAAATGAGACAAAGGTGGGACCTTCTCGATCAAATATGCTTATGGAGTCCTAATAGAGTCTCACACTTTAAGTGACTTTGTATGGGAAAAGTTGTGGAAACTTCTCATAACATACCAAAACCCTCCTTTGGATGGCGGCTTATGGACTCCTTCATCACGGGTCTAGGCAAAAATATAGAATAGAGATCGATGGGAGATGCCTTTAGTGTGATTCTTAGTTGGAAACAGAACTACATGTCCTTCAAGATTGTCATGAGGCTCATCACCTCTAGCAAAGCATCCTGGATGGGCTGAAGCATGGTGAAATTTTTTTCGATAAAACTAAATAATTGGCTGAAATGGAATATCAGGAACTCAGGTCATATAGCTTATAAGGACTAAAGTTTTTATTTTGCTCTTGTTTATTGGCTAATTTGGCAAAGGCTTAACGAACACATTTTTTCAGGGAAAGTTATGTTTAATGAGTATAATAACACTCAAGCTTTAGCCATCTTAGATAACATGATCTCAAATAAACATAAGGGGTCAAATGTCAACTAGAGAGGTAAGACGCCAGATTACCTCTAAATAGTTGGAAGCCACCAGATATAGGGTGGGTCACCATGAATGTAGATGGAACATTCTCAATTGCTTATCAGAAGAAAGGATGCAGTGGTATTCTTAGAGACCACGAAGGAAAATTTCTTTCCGGCTTCCTTTGCAACCTTCATGACGGGGGCTGTCTCACGATCGAGCTTTGGGATTTCTTATTCAGGCTAAAGACGGTGTAAGACGGTAGGAAGAGGAAACTCTGCATGGAATCTGACTCAACTAATGCACGTGGGCTTGCTTTGGGTGGGGATATCTCACATCATCTAGATAAGGTCCTTATCACCAAGATTTGTGATTGGCTTAAGAAGGAGTGGGAAATTCAAGTTAAGCACATCCCACAAATAGCTAACAAGGTAGCTAACTACCTAGCACAAATGGCTCTTAACATTTAGCAAGGTTACCACGCTTTTGGCTTTCCACCTGATGGACTTGTGAAGCTTTTAAAGGATGATGTCTTACATGGATATTATATCCCGCTGGATGTTTCTAGTTGCTGTTTATTAAAAAAAGAAGATAAAATATAAAAAGCTCAAAGCAAATACCTAGTGCGCCAAAGAAAAACAAAGCACAGTATTAGGCAAGATAGGGATCAATGTTGAAGGTTTAATAAGGAAGACTTAGACTATTAAGTACACAAACAGCGTTCGAAAATTATAGAATCATATAATCAAATCCTGCTAAAAAATTTGTTAATCTCCCTTCTATAAATATCTTTATAAGTGTTTTTTGAACTTAAAAAAAATGCTCTTGCGTGGTAAATTTTGAAAATTTAACTCACTTAAACTTTTACTTATCAAGAAGAAGAAGAAGAAGAAGAATGACATTGAGAAACTAGAAGGAAAGTCACTTAATCAGAAGCAAATATGGGGGTGTAGCAGAATGAGAGCCATACACATATCATACACGATGCGTTTGTCTGGACTCTGGCCACATATTTTCTGTATCATATATAATTTAAAAATCACTGCAATGGTCATTTTTTATGTATCATAATTAAACATTTTTTTTATTAATTGCATAGGCGGCATGTGTACTCAGCAGAGCTATTCTAGTATGGTATTCCTCGCTCGATGCGGTATAGGTTGCCGAAGCTAATCAGTTTCACTATACACTTCGCTCTCTTTCTTTCTGCGTGCTTCGACCATACGAAACTGAAAATATATCGCTATAGCAATGGGAAGACATGGATGCCAGTATAGGTATACCTACAGTAACAGAACACAAATATTCATACGTAAGAGAAATTTCATTAAAAAAAAAAAAAAGCCCATACGTAACTGATATCCTGGGAATCCTAAATGGCTAAAAAGCAGTTCTATTTCTGACTTCATGAACCGATCAAACTGAATTTGAGACCAACACTAAACATATTTTGTACAATTCCTCATAGTCAAAGACCACTTCTATCAAGACCCAGGCGCTCACTGCAGAAACTCGATGGCACAATGGACAGCTGCAGCCGCCCAGTCCATTCCTCACTCGGCTTCAAGGTGAGAGGCTTCTCGATCACCGCCCCATCAACACTAAGCATCTGCTTATACTCCCCATCTCCAAAGTCTGCCATTGATCTTGATTTCTTATCCCATGGGTTCCAGACAGCTGCACAGAGGATATAAGAAATCTATAGAACTAGGAGGGATAGTACTGAAGATTACAATAAAACAAT